GTGGATCTTATGAGAGTCCATTCTGGTCAGTTCTTAATTAATGCTTGCTTCAAATTTGGCTCAAAATTGGGGAACTGGTTTTTCTCTTTTAAAAAAAATCTCAGGATTAACACTGATGTTATGAATCAGTTATCTGATATTCTTGTGCCTCAGTTTCTAACACTTTAGAAACCTGGCATAGTAAAAACTATTAATACCAATGGCTACCTAGAGTTACTCAGAGAGTTAAGCACAGTATGGGCTCAATAAAAAAATCAGATGAGGTGATTCCTGCTCTGTATTTCATGGGTTTTTTTGTGTGTTTTTTTCCGTCTTTTTTTTTTTTTTTTTGGGTGGTGGAGCTTTTTGAGACAAGGTTTTCCTCTGTAGCTTTGGAAACTCCTGGCATTCACTCTGTACATCAGTCTGACCACAAATTTACAGAGATCCAACTGTCTCCCTAGTGATGAGATTAAGGGTGTGCACCATCACCACCTAGCCAATCCCATGTATTATTGGCAGTCATACTTTCAGTGGTGTACTGTAGCAGGTATAAATATGTGAGAACCTACACTAAACACACTTCAGATATAATCCTGTCTCTATAGCCTTCGTACTGTGGTCCACACACACCAAGAGTAGGTGATGCCAGTCAGAAGTGAGAGAACAGGCTGATTGTCAGGAGACATTCCTGGCTGTTCCATGGGTTATCTGTCTGTCCTACATGCATCTTCTCAAACTGCCCATGCCCAGTGTCCAAAGACAGCCTCACATACTCAAAAGACCTGACATGGCAAAGCTGAAGGTCTGATCTATTGGCATGGTTTTGGCCATAAACTTTAAAAAGTCTAGTGAAAACTATGTGATTAAATAGGCCATGGCCTTGAAAAATAATCAAACTTGCCCATTGTCCTCCCGTTCTTCATCTTTATCCTCCTCCTCTGTTTCCTCTTCCTTTTCCTTCTCATCTTCGTTCTTCTCTTATCTTTCTCTCCCTTTTTTTCCTGCCTATCCATATTTTCTTTCTTCCCTCCACGTTGGTCTCAGAATGAATGACATTTGTAGCATTTCATGGGCTGACTATTATTATTTTTGTTCATTGTACACACTCCCCAGGCTTGATTATAGCTTTCAGGGTAAACAAATAGTTCTGTATATTCAAGTCATACATAGTACACTGAGAAATAAATATAACACAAAGAACAAATAGAAAAAAACTAATAGAGATATGTAGTTCCCAACTAAGTTGTAGACAGGGTGATATATGTGCTTCCTTCCACAGACTGGGGTACACCACCGTCCATCCTGGAGCTTAGTTTTTTGATTGGGATGAATTGACCAAAATTCTGGAATCCTGTCATAGTACCAGAAAGTTGCAAGAGGATAGAACCATAGGAGAGTGTTGTGTGAGATCATGTAATAGGGGTGTGTGTTTCAATGGTTCACTTGTTCAAACAATTGCTGTATATGATAGGATTCCAATATAACAGCATATTGGCTATGGCTCTCATAGGAGGTTTTATCCTGGGATAATGTGATTTTAAAAAAATGTGTGATCATAAAGATTGACTTCCAACTACTAATCATATGTGGTTATCATCACTATTTCTTGAAGGCCTGAGTTTCATCACTAATTTTAATAATTGCAAGAAAGGAAAGTAATAACAAAATCCCATTTATGAGTTAGTAGTACCCTGTGGCTAAGATACTCCAGATCTAGCCATTTCTGATGGGAAAATATCTGTTAAGGGCAGCTTTTTCTTTTGATAGGGGCCTTCCCGCCAGCCTGGTTCTAGAGCCGCATCAGTCCCAAATAAACACACAGGAGGCTGTATTAATTATGAAGCTGTTGGCCTTGCTTGTCTCTTACTGGCTAGCTCTGCTTTAAGTAATTACCCCATAATTGTTAATCTAAGCATGTCTCTTACCGGAGAATAGTTCCGGGCTCCTACCCCATGGCGTTACATCTCAAACTCTCCTGTGTTTCTCCTTCCCAGAATCCTCCTGGACTCCTAGCCCCACCTATCTAGATTCCTATTGGCCAGCAGTAATTTATTGACATATACACAGGACTTCCCCAACATCTCCTCTTTTCTGTTTAAACAAAAAGAAAGGTCTTAACTTTAACATAGTCAAATTGTATATGACAGAACAGTTATCAAGTAAGAACACAGTTACAACATTTTGTCTATTAACATTTAGCAAGATCTAAATAAAATATCATCCATCCCATCCTTGTGAGTCCAAAGTCCTATATGTAGCTTATCTTTTATCATAACTAAGGAAAACTATAATTATAACTATCTGTCTTCAACTCCATCAAAGACCACAGAAGGATAATATATAAACACTAGGATTGACAGAGGTATCTTACTGCCTGGACAGTCACCCGAAGTTCCTCTGTAACGTTGGGGCATCCATCTTCAGCCCATAGGCCACAATGTATCCAGAAGATTTCTCAGCAAAGCAGGAAATTTCAAACTGTCCATCTGCATTGGCAGTCTGTCAGTCATTTTTCTTTGTCCTGCAGAAAGTCTGGTAGACTCTTCCATGAAGCAGGAACCCTGTAAGACTGAGTTTAGCAGTCACTTTCCTGTGGGTCCTGCATGTCCAGTTTATACAGCAACAGTCAGTCTAGGCAAGAACAGTTTCTTGCCCAAATGGCTAATCTTGCCATGTTGAAAGTAAACTCCAAAACGAGTTTCTTCGATGCCCATTTTCCTCTCAGACATAATTGGTGCTGCCAGGAGCAGACATTTCTCATTGTCAAGAAAAACCCTAAACCATTTTAAATGCCATTTTCTGAAGGTCTTTGAGAGGTTTGAAGACTGTTTTTCTGTTTCAAATACATCTCTATATATCTAGAAAACCTAACTTATCTAACTATAAATTCTGTTATAAGTAACTATAGTCTGTATTCAATTATGCATTACGTTTTAAAAGATCAGTATAAGTACAATACTTAATCAAGAGGAGAAATATCACAAAATTGACCTTGAATTTGTACCAATAAATGAAAAACAATACCCATACCATAATTCCCTTATTTTTACCATTAAAAGAGATTGGCTGTGATCATTAGCCAATTATAAACAATCCCATTTAAGTGAAAAGAAAGATTTATAAACAAGATGGGAATAAGGACGTCGCTCATTCCAAACTGCTTCGTGCTGGAAGGGGGCGCTGTTCATACCATGGGGATCATGACAAAACTCAGAAACCTGTATAAGTCCGTATTTTCGGGGTTTGTAAAACTGCATCATCTTAGCTGTTTCGATTGTTGGAACACCTGGTCCACTGCTTCCGGGGGTCTTGGCTCGTCGAACCACAGAAGCCTGGAAGGAATCCTCAGCTTTTCATTTTTTGTGGAAACATAAGTAAAATCTCCTTTCCCAAGTAACATATCCTTATACTTAAATTTTGAAGTCAAGGCATTTTTAAAAGATAGAAGTTGGATTAATAGAGCAGCATTTATAATCAAGTGTACTTTAGTAGCTGTGGCTTCCTGAGCAATAAAAATATTGAAAAACACAATAGCGTACAGTATCCAAACTCTCTGTGTATATTCCATCTTTACGTGGCTTATTTATTTATCTAATATTACTTTATTTATTTTACTTTTATTTATTTTTCTTTGAGACAGGGTTTCTCTTTGGAAATCTGCCTGCCTCTGCCTCTGAAGTAAATCCTACCGGCGTGCTCCACCACAAAGCCAGGCTTTTCTACTTACCACTTTGCCATTTCATTTTTTCTCTCAATCTCACGTATATTTTTAAACACACTGTAAACCTTTAGAGGTTTTTCTTTATCCAAGTCTGACTTTACTGTAAATCAAGATGGCGGGCGTAAGCGTGATTCCAGGTTACCACCTCAGTCCATGTTGACATCCAGCAAAAGCTGTCACTTCCAGTTGTACGTACACACCTTTTAATCGTTAGTAGAGTCTCTTAAAACAACCTTGTTGTTTTTGTTTTTGTTTTTGCTTTTGTTTTGCCGAGTCAGGAAGACTCCAGTAAGCAAGCCGTGTGAATCTCGGCTTGTGGCTAGCAAAACAGAGCACACCTGAGAAAAATGTTGCTACCAAAATCTGTGCTTCTCTCTGTTCTTCTGTTTCTAAAATTCCTTTAAAGCTTTTGTTATTTTGCATGGAAATTCAATCCCACTCCTGATCACCATTATGTTAAGAGAAGCTTTTTCTTTGAGAAAAGCCTTCCCGCCCGCCTGGTTCTAGATAGGCATCAGTCCCAAATAAACACACAGGAGTCAATATTAATTATGAAGCTGTTGGCCTTGCTTGTCTCTTACTGGCTAGCTCTGCTTTAAGTAATTACCCCATAATTGTTAATCTAAGTATGTCTCTTAACTGGAGAATAGTTCCGGGCTCCTACCCCATGGCGTTACATCTCAAACTCTCCTGTGTTTCTCCTTTCCAGAATCCTCCTGGACTCCTAGCCCCACCTATCTAGATTCCTATTGGCCAGCAGTAATTTATTGACATATACACAGGACTTCCCCAACAAATGTCAAATATCAAGAGTCAGTCAATATGTAGAAAGAGTTTGTGTCTCCAAGGGAAAATCATATTCTCATAAGGGAGGATCTGTGCCTTAGGGTATGGCTCCCACATCATATTTCTCTGGAAGACCTAGACAATGTGAATTTCTAAACACAGCCAGTATTTGTGCTTTGCCAGGTCTCCATGAAGAGCACAGCAGCAAAGATGAGAGGCTACATGTGGAAACTGCCATGAAATTCAGATGTCCTCATGAACTTTTATATTTATTTCATTCTAGCATAGAAAAATAATAAGAACCACCACAACACAATCAAGACAAATTAAAGTCAATGAGTTTTAGACCACTGGCAAACTGACATTTTACCAGGACGCTGATTATGATTCATAAAGGTAAGTAGAAGGAAAGCTGAGGCTGAGGCTTCCCAGCTGCTAAGATCTGCAGGGCATTGCTGATCATGAACTGTATATTCAGCTGGCCTTGTGGCTTCATGCAACCAACACTCACCATTCTTGCAGAGCAGGATAGCTAGAAAATCCTGAGAAGAGGAATTGAGAAAGACCAAGAGGCTGGGGGCATGTGCTGTCACAAAGCTCAGTGTGATGGTTTCCTTGGATGGAGCTGTATCTGTGTAGATAGCTGATGACGAAAGGCTTGTATTCTTCGTCACTGGGTATGGTTCTTGAAACATGTATGTAACTGAGCTGCCAGAATCAAAAAGAGCTGAAATCTCTGCAAAAACAGAAGACAAGAAATCATGCTTTCAAACACTTAGTCAGCTACTTGGTGTAGCTATAATGCCTACCCACACCCTGTACTGTATGAGGAATGTTAAAAAACAAACAATGTGCTTCTTAATAATTTTGAGGAGGCTCAAATCTATTCTTGTGTGTATGTTTACATGTGTGGAAGAGTGTTCATATTGGAGACTAAAGATGGTATATCTTCCCCTATCACTTCTGCTTCAATTTTTGAGACACTGAATGTCTAGCTCATGCACTGACTATAATTGTTGGAGAGAGAACTCAAAGCTCTTATCTCACATCCTCTAGAAACACATCTTATTTTCTACATGGGCACTGAATCCACACTCAGATTCTCATGCTTGTGGGGCAATCACTTTGCTTACAGAGTCATTTTCTCAATCATTGCATCCATTGTTTGTAACTGTAAATGTGTCTGGGGAGGTTAATCACAACAGTAACTCTTTCTCTGTACCACCATGTTATTAAGCAAGATGGTATTTGTAAAGCACTGAGAAGCATTGCCCAACAGGGTCTGCACTCTATGTAGCAAGACAATATCACTGAAGGCCAAGTAGATGCCTCAGGTGGTAGAGTCTTGACTGTACAACTATCAGAAGGTGATTTTGGATCACCAGTATTTATGTAAAAAGATAGGTGTGATGGTATGCATATGTAATCTCAGTGCTGGAAGGCAGAGGTAGGAAAAACCATGTTGTTTATTGGCTTGCCTAGAAATTGGTGAGTGCCAGATTTGAGAATAGATCTTGTCTCAAAAGATAATATGAAGAACAACTGAGAAAGATATCTGCTATGACCTCTGGCCTCCACATGAATGTGAGCATCGTGAGCACACACACGTGATCACATACACATGTACACACATACTGCAAAAACACAAAAAGAAATGAAAAGAGATAATTTAATCTAAGTTCATCACAGTAGCCTTCAAGAAGTATGTCATGCTTTTGGCTATATGTCTGTGAACAAGTTAAATTTGTTGAAATATTTATTCTCCCTGAGTCCAGGTTGTTCTTGAATTAAATTTAACTCTCATCTTTTTATATGGAGGTGTGAAAAAAAGGTTGCCTTGTGTTGCAACACTTCGTAGATCTGTGAGCACACATATGACTGGAAAACTGTGTGGTAAATTTGAGTTCATATGAATTATGATAAGTTTCTTTTCTTCTCAAATGAGGGGTGCTGTGTTCCTAATCCTCCACATTCCCTGGCTAAGGGGGGGGGGCAATGAGAACACTCCAAACTTGGCTTTGCTTCCAATATTCTTGCCATTTTTCTGCTTTGTAAAAATTCTGTTAACAGTCTGTAGTAGTGCCACCTAATTAATGTTACATGTTCATGCATACTGTCTGGCAGACAGGGACTAGTAAACTATTTCATGAAAGATTCAGAAAGAATATTTGACTTTCATCAAGCAAGTTAGATCAGTGCTTCTTATATTAAAAACAGGAAGCCAACACTAATGGCCATGAAGATGTTGGCTCATAATCTGGATGAATAAGTGTCTTCCTTAGGGATTTATGTGGTCTTTTGAGTTACTCTTTTCTAGTTAACAAAATAAAATCCTTTCTTTGATGTTTGTGTATAGTCAAATATATATGTGATTTACAGTGTATGAAAAGCATATTAGAGACGGGTATATACAATATGGTTTTTCTTCCCTTTAGGACAAAAAATTAAAACTAGAAAATTTTTTATAACTAGATATGTCACACAAAATTGAAGCTCTTGTTCTACTGCTGAACCTAGTTTTAGTTATTTCTAATGTTTAAACATTGTTTGTTTCAGTATAAAGCTAAATTCAACAGTATGAGAAGTTTCTTTTACTCATTCATTTTCTTGTGTTTTATGACAGGAGATAAATGTGCTGGAATGGGTTTAGTTTTCCCATAGATTACTTAGAAATAAAATCTGGAGCATATTCTGTGAATTTTAGCTTTTATTGTTATTTTAACTTCAGATAGTATAACGTTGCAAAATAAAGTAAGAGCCAGAGAATTTATATGCTGGGTGCAGTATGCATTGAGTGCTAAACATGATCCCTTCTATAAAAAACTTCTGCAATTCCCACCTATTATAAATGTGGATATTAAGAAAGTGTGAGATTAAATACCTAACTACAGTCTCACATGGAAAATGGTAAATGAATGAGAACCTGAACCCTGTCTATTTCTGCTGAGCTCCTGTGACAGATGAATTAAATAAGAAAAGACAATGTTTACAATGGAAACTATTGCAATGATTAAAATTTATGCTTACAAGTATTTATGACATGTATAGGAATGTTTATGTGATGAAATTAAGTAAGCTGGTAACATAAATAAAACACACATCATGATCTCCACATCTCCACTATATTACATGTAGGTAACAATTTTAATTTGTTTTATAAATGATAATCTGTGAGGTTAAGTTAGGTGTCACTATCTTGATTTGTACAACAATTTCCAAATTTATTATGTAGCAATTTTAGCAACAAAAATATTTACGTGGGAGAATTGTTTATTTAGTCAACAATAGAAGAGAGCTGAGGGCAAAGAAGTACACATTGATAAATGATACCCAGGTACATTTTGATTTATACTAGAAGAGAAAAGAATCATGTAATGGCTGCCAAGGTGGCTCAGAGGATAAATATGCTTGCAGCCAAGCCTGAAGAACTGAATTCAGTCCTTGGGGCCATACTGTAGAATGAAAGAAGCTATGCTTAAAGTTATTCTCTGACCACATGTGCAATGACATGCTGGTAAATAAGAATAAAATAACTTTAATCCCAGCATTTGGGAGGCAGAGGAAGGTGGATCTCTGTGAGTTTGAGTCCAGCCTGGTCTACAAGAGCTAGTTCCAGGACAGCCTCCAAAGCTACAGAGAAACCCTGCCTAAAAAACAAACAAACAAACAAACAAAAACAAAAAATAATATAAATAATTAATGCAATTAAAATTTGGTAAAATAGATTATAGAATCAAATAAAGCCCAAACATACAACAAATATAGAAATTAGATCAAAATGTAACAAAGCCCTAAATGGAGAAGCTAAAATTTAAAATACTTAGAAGAATCATAGGTACAGTTTTTATATCGTTGAATAACTAATTATTTCTCATGATGACAGTATAAGTAGAAGCAATAAAAGGAAGGAAAGATAAATTCCATCAGACTGTAGGAACTTTCTTTTCAAAAGATATACTGAAGACTAGAACAAAAAAGCCCATAGAATGGGAGGATAAATTTACAAATTATATTTTTATAAGGGACATATATTCAGAAGACAGAAATATTGTAAATGAATAGCAACAAGAATAAAAATATGAAAAGATTGGAAAATGCAGTTATTCAAAATGGCATAGAAATGAATGGTAATGATTTGAAAGAATGTTTAGCATGACTAGTCATTAGATATGAGAAAGTCAGAGCCACAGTTTGGCACCAATTCCTATTTGGTAGGGTGTGCTATAAGACAGGCATACAGTAACAGGTGTGTGAGAGTGCAGAAAAATTAGAGCTCTTGTGCACTTCTCCTGATATGGATGGGAAATCAGCAACCCAGTTTGAAAAACAATTTGGTAGTTCCTCAGGAGATAAAACATGGGGCTAGCAAGCTGACTCAGCTGGTCAGTACACTTGTCACTAACCAAGCCTAGTGACCTGAGTTTTATTCCCAGTTCTATACAATGATGCTGGGTTCAAAGAGAAACCCCATGCATTTCCAAAAAAGAACAGGTCTACTGACTTGGTCCAAAATGAAAGTCTAGGCTCAGCTCACACAGGACTTTGGGGGGTTTTCTGGTGGACAGATCAAAGCTCACCGATGGCATTACTTGGGAACTCATGAAATGTGTTTCTGCAATCAGAAATTGCCAGTTCCCTTAGCATGTAACTGTAGTTACTTATTGAGGTTCAAACTTTACTTCCCTGCTCCTCTGGTACCTAACACATGTACCTGTTATGCATTTTTGATCCAACACTAGAACCCTGGCCCACTGGTCCATCTTTCCTCCTCCGTTATGTTACCTTCCAGACTAATCCAGATTACAGAACTGGCAAGATCCCCACTGCTGACCCCAGCCCTTCTTCTCTGTTTTTCTTGCTATTCTTTGCTATTTTCTTCCACTTCTTTCTGCCACCACTCAACTCCCGCAGGAGAAAAAGCCCTGGCCCTCAGCAGTTTTCTTTTTTCCCTTCTGTTCTGACCTCTTCTGGATGCCTCTGTCTGTTCTCTCTCTCATACTTATAATCATTAAAAGTATGCTCCCCATGGAGTAGCCATTTCCATGGTTTCCTCATGGTGCCATCAGTTACAGGTAGAAGAGAAACCGAGTTATGAAAGTTGTTGTTTGACATCAACAGGGCCACATGGCACACATGTGCCCTTACTGCTTCAGATGCTCAAATAAATAAATGTCATAAAATGACACGAAAATCAAAAAATAAATCATGTCACATCCCCAAGCATGCAGATGAGTTTTGTTGTTAGTTTTACTCAGGAGCATCAGGAAATGGATGGAGTACAGTGTCCACTGACTGACAAACAGTCAAGCACAGTTAAGAGTACCCACAAAATGCTTTGGCAATGGAAAGAAAAATTGCCATGACATGGATGAAGTGATATTGTCTTATGGGAGAAAGGCAATTCAAAGAAGCAGCATGTATTAGGGTGTCCTTCATATGAGAGTCCCGCCTAGGCAAACCCTCAGACACAGAAAGAGTACTGGCATCTAGGAAAGCAGAAGGTCATGAGAGTTTGAGGCAGCTGGCGGAGGAACAGAATCTGAAACTGGGAAAGGAAGGGTATGTGTGAAAGCAACAGGAAACAGGATAGCATAACCCATAACAGGGGATTTCTTTCAATGCATCTAACTAGATGACTAGCCTAACAATGAATAAATGTTTTAAAAAGCACAAAAAGCCAAAAGCTACATACCTGGAGGGATATTTCTATCATATTTTTATTCAGCATAAAATCAG